TTGGTAGTTGGTGCTGGTAGTGTCAACAAAGATGGACGTTCAGAAATGTTGGTGTACGAATATTATGTGATCAAGTTTGTAGTCAATTTATCATGATTTCGAATGATTTTTTCATACGAGACGTGGTCGTTTGAGCAAGTTTATCAATAAATTGACAACAAATGGAATATCTGACAAGTTTCAAAACACTGAATGTCACTTCTTGTTGCAACGTGATTACCTTTCTCTGAAGACCACTTGGGAGAATAGAATATAGTACAGATGATAGTGTTGTTAATGTCTTTTACTGAAGAGATCACTTTGAATATTTATGCAAGAGCATCGATTAAGTTTGACAACACCATACACGCTGATTGTTGTTAAACTTGCATCGATGAAAAGGGCAAGACGACTTTCTTAAATCAATATGATGCTGCTAACTTCTTAGCGGTATGCATGATACTTCTTTGAACAGAAGATCAAGTTGATGGGAATCCTATTTCATTGATTTGAAGACATCACATACCATCTATGACATGTGTCTAACTTTTCAATAAAGAGGACGAGTAATATTTAGATTGAAACTCACACTAGATTGCCCAATGAGAAATTCGTATTATCATCAGCTGCATTTTTTGCAATTACACGACCAGGACTGTCAAATCCCAAATGTCAAACATGGTATAGATGGGATACACTCATTGCATAGATGGAAGACAATAATGGGCTGCACAAATGTCAAATAATGCACAAGATTCTAAAAGAAAACTAATTCCATGCGACAACTTTTCGTTAGAAGGGCTGTATTTGATGTTTTTTGTGCAAGAAAGGAATTGATCTGTTCATATTTTAGTAAAAGAAAGATCATAAACAAATCATTTTTCAATACAATTCTATCTCATGAATAAGGATTGATGAGTTCCCATGAAATAAATATTACCTATTGATACTAATCGGCTAGGCCTTATACGAACACGTATTCACCATTTTGTTTAGTCTTCTATAAGTTCGTGTTGCAAGCTTATAACTATATAAAATGTTCTAATTTCATTTTCACTAGTTTCTCTATACTGTATATCTTTTGGATGGTAGAATTAACATAACAATGAAGAATTTCAGTTGAAACAATAATTTGAGAGTTCTATTGGTGCTTTATACCTACATAAAACTTTCAATGCCTTAAATAGAAAGTTTTCTGTGGTTTCTACAATCATAGATTTCATTTTATCTAGTGCAGACGAAGACTACTGAAACCGAGTACAAAAAAGTGAATCGTAGTGATACAGTTTTTTTAGGATACAAAATTTAGAAAAGGGAACTGCACTAGGAGTGTCAATTTATATTTACTTTCAGCTTGATTTAGGAGTAAATTCAATTATGAGTAAATTAAAGTTATTTGGAATTTATAAATTAATTATAGATAGTTTTATTTATTTTATAGGGGGAAGGGAGGGAATCACAGGAACTTCATTTGATTCATTGGATCTTTTTGGCTACAATACCATTGAATGATACATACAATGAAAGAGCGCAACTTGTCGGACATTTTAATGGTAAATTCGAGATGCTTTATTGGTATTTCATAGAGTTTCTCTGCACCCCCATTATGAAAAACTTGAAGCATAAATTTGGTGAAACACGTAGACAATATGTGACACTATTCAAATAGGGTCACAAACTATGGATCATGGTTGGAAATGTACTCAGAAAACGTTGACTCAGACTATTTTTTGTAAAACCAAACTGCCTTCTCAACAAAACATTTCTCTGAGAAGCCCTATTCAAAGTACCCTGAGATAGGATAAAATATCAATACAGGCACATCTTTGTTTCGTTGTCGATCCAAGTAGATTTTCTTGGTTCAACCTTGATTCTACCTTAATAGATAGCGCATTAAAAATGCTTCAAAGGGACGTGATTTTATGCTCTGAAAGATGTGGCTACTAAAGAATAACATGGATGCGAAATGAAATAGTACGTTCAAGAGTCTGAAAACCATAGGGATTGGAGAACATATAAAACTGAAAGTAGAAGACCACTATAGGATATCGATTTTTGAAAATTTGAAAAACATCTATTTTATCATGCAGCTAGACGAAAACAGTGGGTAATCAATTGGACATTAGGTGAAAAATCGATAGCATACTTTTACTAGGTTCAAAAAGTGCTACATGCATCTCGAACTATGGACTACTTAATGACGTAAAAAGGTTTTCTACAAAGTTCAAATACGGTGGTAACTTAGCTAATTCAAAATCATGTTGAAAATAGCGTCATCTGTACAATACAATATT